TTGCCAAGCTCCTCACCCCTTCCTTCTCCCTCTCTTCTTCCTCAACCTCGCTTCCCCTCTCTTCAACTTCATCTTCCTCGCCCTCGTCGTCATCCTCATCCTCATCCTCATCGGCCTCTGCTGCAGCTGCCGCGGCTGCCATAGCTGAATAATTCCTCATGAAGAATCCATCCTCCAATAGTGCCGCCGCCGACCGCTTCTGCGGTAGCGCTAAGGTCGTCACCGGCACCGCAGGTACGGGGGACGGGGTTTTTATGATACGGCAAAGAAAGCGGCACCGGAGGCGACGGCGACGCCTTTTTTGCACTCAAAGCAGGCCCAATCAAAACGTCTAAGCGATCGAAGAAGGGCCAAGTAGAAGGAGCCCCGCCTGGGGAGGAAACCCTATTCTCTCAATCTTATACTTCTTCTTAATGGTGTCGATGCGGTTCTTGCACTGAACATCCGTCCGATGCGTCTTCTTGGTATGACCATGTAGAGCGTTGACAGCGTCCGCCACGTCCTGCCAGTCCTTCTGACGGAGATTGCCGCGGTTAAGCTGTATATAACGGCGGCCCCAAGCGTCGACGAGGGTGGAGGTAGCTTCCTCGGTCCAACAATCTTCGCGGACGGGCATCGGGCGCGAATGGTTCACAGGCGGCGTGAGAGACTCGCGCATATCCCCCATCGGAGAAAGAACGGCGACTAGCCGGAGAGAAGGTGAAAGGGGTTAAAGTGGGAACGATGAGAGAGAAAGAGGGAGGAGAGTGGCGGACGCATGAGAGAAGGAGAAAGAGAGTAGGGTAATGCGGTACGGTAGAGGCGTTGAGTCGCCGGGAAGGGCGCGTGACGTTGAAGGAACCCACTGAGTCTGAGACGGGCCGTGGAAAGTGGCTGGCGTCATGGGATCGGCTCGGCTTGGCCGCTCCATGTTTTTCACAATCACATATCACATTTGTTTTGCTTTGGAGAACCAACATATCCCTATATCATAGTATGATCATATGCCAGCCAAAATACTACTGTAAATTAAGAAAAAAAGAGATATAGCAGTAAATATGGAACATTGGTTTTGACTTTTGACTTTGGACTTTTGAAGTTTTGATTTTAAGGATTCCTTTTCCCGGGGAATCCAGCATTTTACTATGATTGTTTCGCGAAGTTTTCTTCCAAGGCTTTGTTATCCTCATCACTCACTCAGAATCGCATGTAGACAAGTATTTGTAACCAGGAAAAAAAAAATTGTAAATATTTTTTTTATCTAATCTATAAATTATTTTTAACATATTTCATACATACTGATAAAAATTTTAAATTTATTAACTCTCTTTTAAATTAAATAATTTTCTAACTTCATCTCTATTTAATATACAATATATTTTATAAAAATAAAATCAACACAATAATAAATTAAGAATAAAATTATACATTCATATGAAATTTTTTTCTCTCTTCTTATAAATAGAATAAAAATTTTCTTCTCTCAGTCTATAATATAAATAACTAGAGGAGTACTTTCACATAAATTGAAATAATTTTTTTTCATATCCTTATTTTATTATAAAATGATTTTTAAAATCATAGTTTGATTTTTTTTCAAATACCCCTATCAGATGCTTCATCCACATTATTTGAGTGCGCTTTGATAATTTAACCCAGCACTTATAGTAACAGTAATGGCAGGGACACCTTCAAATTATTAACGAGTTAGCAACATCCTTGTTAAGTGTTTATAAGAGAAAAACCATGAATATTAAATAATATATAAATTAATTAATTAATTTTAAAATTTGACCTGAATAATTATAGCTGATATTATTATTACAATATTTTATAAAGTAAATTTTTCCCACTGTTTTTTTTCCCAAACCTAGCCAAAATAGTTTGGAGATGTTCAAAATAACGCTGTTTATGAAAAATAATGACTTTTACTGGACCCATCAGACGGGAGTTTAATGTGATTTGCAATTTATTAATTAAAATTTGAAAAGAAAATGAATAAATAATAATATTTTGTTTACCGGTGTGGCTTGTCATTCATAATATTATGAATGAAGAAAAGCAAACGAAAAGAATTAAGCCGAATAAACACTTAAAAACCCATATCACCTCAAATCACTCGGTCATGTTTAATATTTGAGAAATCACCTTTGCAACATGATTTTGAGTGGCTGAATGCCAACCTAATCATACATAAAATCCAGTTTGTAAAATACTACTTCTAATTCTAATTATAAGAGATAGTTGACTAATTTGAGGAGACTAAGGAAAAAGTTAAGTTATTATTTGTAATAAATAGGTGTTATCTTTCCCAAAATATCATTATTAATCAAGTGTATTGGTTAAAACTACTATTGTTAGAAGGGATACATTAGGAAGAAATGCATAAATATTAGAGACAAAATAGATAGAGTCTTATATTTAAGATCAAAATAAAATAAATAAGATCTTATACTAAGGACCAAGGTAGTAAACTGCACTATAAATAATTATATTGTATATACAGAATCGAAGGTAGTATTTAGATTAGATTATTTAAAAGTTATTACTATTAATTTCCAGAAAGAACAACATATTTTTGGTCTTCTCAAAACCTCTTCCTCTTCTTCTGTTGGAAGGCAGGTTTATAACTCGCTAGCTTTATTCTGAACCGGACAAACAAGGCTATAAGACCTCTCGTCTCTGTCGTCAACATTAACAGATAGTTTCTCCATGGTCCCCAAGCCGCTTCCCCAGTTTTCTAAAGTCAAAACTCAAATCCAACCAAATCTAACCCTCAGGTCCCCACCATTCTTCTGTGGGACTTGTGTAGGCAAGGTTTGAAACTGCTTCTTCTTCCACTTGGTTAAGAACTAGAATTTAGATCATTATAACGTTTGTCTATTTTATGAAACTCTCTTATATCCCGCAACAGCCACCTTAAGTCCACTGTCAAATCAAAGGCTTTCTTTCTTACTCAAAGAAAGTTGGCTTCTTTATTTAGTTTATAGCAAAGATGATTCCAATTTGGGTTTGTCTCGTAAAGGAAAATTGAAAACCCTGCAAGTTTTGGAACTGAGCCGATTCTCCCATCAAGAGCGGCTCATCAACCCCTTCGTCACACTTGCTAATATTTCTTAGACTCCGCGAGTCTTGTATCTTTCACTTGAAAAGTGGCTCTACATACTTGCTCAGAAGCACAATAACCGTATTCTCAAAGATCGCACAAAGAACAGTAATGCATTATGCATTATGAGACACGAAAAAAGTTGCATGATGTTTCTGCAAAGTGTCCAGAAAATTTAGTTCCAGAAGACAGATGGTTAAAAATAGAAAAGACAAGAACAATCAGTTATGAGTTCCCTTATGCCTGACCCACTTAACTTGTATTGGGACCTGGCATCCATTAGATGAACTGGTTTACAGATTAGATCACATTAATTTTAATGATTCCTTCATGCACGAACTTGCCTGTCAACTTTTTGTTGACCACCACAGCTGGTGCCGGGAGCTTTCGACCGAAAAAAGTTGAATCACCAATCAGAAATATCAGATCCACAGACATCAACACGAGTTTTGCTTACCATAGCTCCAACTTATTATATTTCCCCCTCTATCAAATTTTTAGACTCTATGTGCATACATTTCATGCTAGGTAAGTATCCCAGTGCCTATTCTTGTGAAAAACTGGATGAGGATTTTTTCTCCGGTGGGTAGGAAGTCCGCCGTAGCTTAATGCAATACGCTGCGATATAAGAATGCAGAGAAGAAGTCTTCTTAAATTTAATGCATATACTACGATAAGAAATGGAATTCCTCTTTGTAAGGGAAAGTGATGGAAGCATTAGTGAGCTTTTAGCGTTAAATATGAACGGCACCGACAAATTAAACAACGCTCCATGACGATGTCTGAGAGAGAGAGAGAGGAAGACTCTTTCTGACATTCTGGGTTTCTTTAAATTTTGTTCTTTACATAATAATATTCTTAAACTAATGACCTAGAATTTATCTCAGAACAAAAGTTCGTAGGTTGCTCCAATATACCGCGAGCTTCCATTAACAAAAGATCATGTGGCAATCATCTCTCATTATGATTGATTTGAATGCAGAATCACTCATGAACAGATAATACTGACCCAGCAGAACTGCAGAAGTGGGATCTTTTATATCCATGCATGCAGTAATCGATCAAAATTTCTTCACGAACGGTAAGTAAATTAAAAGCGCGCAATATATAGGAAGTCCTGGATTTATATCTTTATCACAGTTACAATTTTATAGCACCCATCATGATTTGATCTATAATATATGCCCCACTGAGCGAACAATGACCCCCAAAGATCGTAAAAGCTCAAAACTATTTCCACAATGGAAACTGACCCATTTATGGCCCTAATCTGATTGCAGAATTATCCGCCTCTAGCACTAGAGGAACCCAGTTTCAAAATCCATAAGATAAGCATTATTACAATTTTTCTTTTTAATTGCGTTCCTCTATCTATAAGCCTATGTACAGAGAAGAAGCACTGGCGGAGGAGGAAGAAGACACAAAGGAACAACTAAAAAAGAAATTCATTTTCTCTTTTGAAGTTCAAAAAATGGATTGCAAATATCTCTTGAAATAAACCCTGTAATATATGGATAAAAAGGATGAAGCGGGCTTCGATGAAATCATAAGATTTCGGAAACAATCAAGAACCACCCCCTTACAGATCACTTGGAGACTCCGAAATGCTCTCCAGGTGAGGTCTCCACACGGCGACGCGCCCTCTTCTTCTATCTCTCTGCGTCGAGAGCTTCTCGGATAGTATATCCGTCAAGTACCGATCGGAGGATAGAATCTGCAGATTAGCCATGGCCACGGCGGCGTTGCCGCTATTACTATCTCTGTTTGTCAACGTTCTCTCACTCCGCTCCTTCTTCTTCTTATTCTTCGGCGCCGACGATTTGGGCCGACTCTTCTCCTCCGGTGTCAGGAAGTAAATCTTGCCTCGTTGGAGCTCGGCATCGGGAGGGACGATCACGATCTTGGGAACGACACCGTCATCGGCAGACGACGGAGAGCAGGGTTTCTTGAGGACGTGCTTGGGGTACAACTTCATGACGTCGCTGGCCTTGACGGAGCCGCTGATTTCCTCGACGCGGCCATTGGAGTGAACTATGCGGATCACATCCAGTGCTCCGCAGGGAAGAATGCAAGAGATGCAACACCTTATGGTGTTCTTCATGCCTGCAACTTCTTCCCCTGCTTCCTCTGTATGGTGTTAAAAAAAAAAATTTTCCCCCCTAACAGAGCAAGAGAGGAGACAGATGGAACTGGGTCATAGGGAGAGATATTGGATAAGAAGAAGGAGGAGGAGGAGAACGAAGAAGAAGAAGCATTTTGGGTAATGAAGGGGCATGATTTTAACGGGGAAGCTTTATTGGGTTGGAGGTATATTTAATGAAGAGCTTTTAGGAAAGGATTGGGAATATTATAGAATGAATGAATATTAGTAAGAAGGAAGCAAAGGGGAGGGGTAGATTGGGATGGAATTTATGGTATGAATAATTGCAGCACACTCTGTACTTGGGCTTTTCATGCATAATTCAGGGGCCCTCAGGTCAGTCCCTGGCCTCCACACGAACACACACTGACTGATATGAGTTTTTCATCTCAATAAGAACACATGTTAGGGGCTGCAGGATGAGGATATTCAAAGCTGACACATATGTATGGTGCATGATTGGGACTGCCTAGCAAGCAAAGACACTAACCCCAAGAAAAGAGAGCCTTTCAATAATCTTCAATGTTTTTACATTTAATTCAGCCGTATTGAACATCTTTTTGAACAACATGTGGGTGAATGATTGTGAAGGAAGACATTGAGGAGGAGTGGACGTGTGGGTAGCTATCAAAATTAAAAAGTTTGAGACTTTGGGGCTCTAAAAGTAGAATGAGTTGGGGAAGGAGCGAAAAAGAGAAGGGATTTTTTTTGGGGGGGGGGGGTGTGTGAAAAAGGGAGGATGGCGAAATGTGAAGAAGAGGAAGCAGGATCATGTGGGAATGTGGGGAGGGAGTGACATTGGAAAGGGTGTGGCAACGGGGATTCACACTTTTTATGAGGTTCTGTGAAGTGCTTTGACTAAGGCCTACGTATTTGTCTGCTACCAAACCCCAATTAATCCCTCCGTTTTGTCCTTTTCCTCTTTTTCATACGCCTATGCTTGCACATATTTCACTCCCTATTTTCACTCCTTTTTAATTCACTAAGTAGATTAAATAAATTAGTTAAATTAATTGTTTTTAGATTGATTTTTCATAATAAATAATATATCAAACTGAAGAATTAAACTCTAATGTAGATCATCCAAAATGTGCTCATTAGCGGGAATCTAAATTGAGTTAACATCATTTTTTTTATACTCACAAATAAACATAAAAGTGAGCATTTAGGTAACGCTATAAAAAAAAAGTGGAAATTGTGCCCAATCACATTTATTTTTAGGTCAATGAACAGATGTATGAATGTAGAAAAATCAATTCGCAATTGTATTGACGGTTCCAATAAAATAAGACAATTCATAAGAGAAAGAGTAGTTATGATGTGACCAATAACTTCTTATTATATGAGAAGATTATAGTTCATTATCATTAGTTATCACCTTATCGAGGCTTTAAAAGTAGTTATTTTCCTAGGCTTACGGGGTGAGTAGGAGTTCAAGAGCCATATCTAAGTATAGGTTAGTTAAAAGAAGAGTTAAAAAAAAAAAGTAAATTAAGATGATAAGATAATCACAGATCAGATTGAAAAAGGCATGTGTTTTGGTTTGAGTTTGATATGATTTGTTTGTATCCATTTAGAAGAGGCAAGAAAAGTGGACCCACTAATTCAATTAAATGGACCGGAGGTAGTATTTAGTTAACCCATTTAAGCCGAAATGACATTGACATAAACTGAACCATTTTGAATGTTGGTTCTTGGCTTCAAGATGGACTGCTCTTTTGAAGTAAAAAAATAATTCGAAAAATATATCAACCTTTAAATTAAAGCGGGTTGTACCAAAGTTCATAAATAAATGTTGATGTAGAAGAAAATAAATGACAGATAAATAGGGACTTATTTGAGAAAATAGATATATACTATCTTGAGTCTTAAATATATTACATGATTTGTAATATAAATTATACTCCTCCGTTCCTAATATAAGACCCAATTGATATTGAGGAGATTAAAAAGTAAGTAAGTTGGTTATTATTAAATAAGTGTTATTCATAAAATATCCTTACTAATTATATATGGCTAAACTATCATTATTAGAAGGATTATCTTGAAAAAAATGCATAAATATAAGTGGATGGGTCTTATAATTAGGACCAAATAAAAAGTCAATTGGATCTTATAATAAGGACCGCTTTATTAAATTAATCTTATATTTATAACCTACAAAAATGTGAAATGAAGTTTTCGATGTAGTTAAGTGCGTCCCATGTAAATGTGGCCCGCTTATTCATTCAGACGCAGGTGTTTGTGGAAATCATGTGAGCTATGTACGGACCCATGAGCCTCCATCTTTTACGTTTCCTCTCCTATTTCTTTTCATCATTCTTCCTTTTTAATCTCACTATTTTTGAAAAAAAAGAGAGAAAAGGAATCACATTAGTGAGTTCTAACATATATATATATATATATATTAGAACTTATAATTTGAGTGTCTTGTTCTGTTTTATTTCCACTTTACCGAGTTAAATGCATTTTAAAATTTCCTGAGTTTAAGTATATCCTAATTCATTTCCACCGCTCAACCATGAGTATTTTAAGGAACATGTTTTATTTTGGTTAAAGAAAGGAACAAAACCTGTTAATTTATATTGCTTTGGTGCTATTATATAATATTATTGGTGTTTAAATTGTCGGATTGTATTTGCCTTACTTCATTAGCTTGTGCTATTAGGTGGAATATTACATTCGAGCTCCACCAAAAAACATCGCGTTTTGATTTTTGTTCTTTTTTTTTTTGGGTTTGGAAACTTGACTATATGTGTTTTATTTGAAATTATGATGGAGAAAATTCCGTTGATCAAAATAGAAGAAAAAAAGATGAACAAAATTCCAACCACAACACTACAACCAAAAAGTAATCAAAAAAATATTAGTCGAGAGCTTTTATTTATTTAATTTTTTTTATAATTAAGGAGGCGAATTTGATTTTATACTTAATGCTGGCCAAACGAAAAAACTCTGATTTTACTAGTGATGATATCTGGATGATTTTACAAAACAAAATTTAATAGCTGAAGGCAGATTGCAATTTTTAGTTTTTTACTCTATCACACAGGATCTCAACAACAAATGGAAACATCATAACACGTCATGTTCGGGCAGAACAAATAAAAACTATATATGTTCCTTGAAAGAGAAAAACAACATGGAGTTACTGTTTGGGAATGAAGGGTTGAATGGGTCAACCAAGAGACTCGAATCCAGCAACAACGGAATGGGTTCATTCTTTACAACATGATAAACTAAAATTTGAAGTATCTATATTTAGTGTCTGACAGTATTTTAAATAAAATTATTTTTAATAGAAAGATACTTATGTCTAACAAAAATAAAAAAGATCAAGTTATTTGAGCGTGAGGGTCCAAGTTGAAGGAGATTTGAGAACGAAGATTTCAACCAAGAGGATTTGAGTGTGGTGGAAGTGGAAAGAGTTCGTTCTTCGTACCGGGATAAACAAAAGTCTAAGGTATCCACGTTTAGTGCTTATAACGCTCCAAATATGTATGTCTGATAGAAAAACGGGTCAAAGTCGGGGGCCCACAAAGAGCATTTGGTGACAAGTTCCACTTGTTGCTCTTTTTTTAATGGTGAGCTGCTTTCTTACATACATTATATTCCCGATTATATTCTGAAGAAATATAAGAATCAATCACTCTACCTAGCTCATAATCAAGTCTATATATTATGAAGATCACTTTTCTTACTAACTACCTAACTTCACAACAATCTCATATTAAGCATATAAGATTAAGAATCAACCCTCTACCACTGCTAATATCATATATACATATTTCAACAACTCCAACGCACAACCCAACAAAATCTCACAACCAGACAGCCCATTACAACCCAAACATGCTTCGACACACATATCTTCACATCATTACTTCACTGTTACCTTAAAGCAGCATCATACGACTCACTCTTCTGTTTCTGTTGCGTTGTGTTCACCCCTCGTACATATTCCATGTACCTGTATCTTGTGGCTCAAATCCCCCCTCTCTACTAGCAAATATTACTTTCACAGATAAAAACAAATCAAACTGGTATCTCAAAAGCGTAAAAAGAAGCCTGCCTCCGAAAGATTACCAGGGATAGGAAGATGGAGAGGATTTAGTTTTCAGGTTGTTTGAAATGAATGCAACATGAATGAATGAAATATTAATGGGGTTGGATGGGCCCAAGCATTGAAGGGGGCTAGCTAGCATGGGCATTAAATGGGGCAGAATAGGACCTCAAGAAGCACAGGGATATGATATATATATATATATATATCATAACCAAGGGTTTTCAAGGGAGTGATTTTGGTAGGGACTGATGTCTGGGGCCAAAATCAAAGTGTCTGGCTAGAGAGAGAAGTGAAGGTCAGCGTCAAAGATGAGAGAAACAGGAACAAGAACAAGAACCAGAAAGTGGGAAGGAAGAAGATAGTGTGGTGTATGTGGGTGGAATCATAATGAATGAGAGAGGGCAGGGCATGATGTGGTCCATAACATACATAATAGATATAGAGAGAAATGGATTGGATGAAAGAGTGTGATTGATAATAATGAAATTGGAGAACAAAGTGGTGGACAGTACAGGAAGGTTATTATGATATTAAAGGCATTCCTTTTTTATATCAACATGTCACCAACATTACCATCAGCAACACTATGATGATTCTGAGGCAGTATAAGTTTATAATCAACTTTATTGCTTCCCATTTTTGTGCCCCCTGCCTTACCTGGCCTCTTCATCTTTTTTTATTCATACCCTTTTTTTTTTATTCGTCCCTTTTCATTCTTATTCTTTATTTTCATCCACATCTTTGGATTTTTTCCCTCAAAAGACTCATTGTGATCTGTGATATATGTAGGGAGATTTTCAATTTAATTTTTAATAACATGAATTTCTACTGACATATACGGTGAAAGTTGATAATATAAGTGAGCGAATAAAATTACGCGCTTGCCGGAAGAAGTTTAATTTTAATGCTCCCAGATAGAGATTAGTTTCAAATTTAAAGTGATTTGAAAATAATCTAACTTAAAAAAAATTACGCATAATAACACCATTGCGGGCGTTTAAGCGATTGTAATTTGAACCAAAATATCAATAATAATAATTTTCTTTGCTTCCGGCCCCCAGCTCCCCAGATTTCTGCAAAATGGCCCGCCTCGATTTGGGCCTAGATATCATGTGTTAGCATTTTCGGGTTTATAATCGGTCTTTTAATTTGGGCACATGATAGTTGATCGGGTTGTGGATCACAATGTTGGATAACATCAGGCTTTCTATAATTGGAACACTTGTCAAATAAGATATTTCGTTGTATCAAAAAGACAAAGATTTTTCGGGAAAGAAAC